CGCGTGTGTGCTCTGTTAATGGGCCATCAAATAAAACAAAGGACTTGGCCTGATCCCTAAATGACCAAGACATTAATCTCCTAGCAACGAAGGGGGAGGAATTGAGGAAGGGTAGGATGTGTGGGTGGAAGGAGGTGGGGTTTAGGGGGTTGGAGCTCAGCTCTGGAGCCGGAGGGGAGGCTGCAGCAAGGAGGAGAGACTGCCTGGTTTCTTCTTTGTCTTTTCCTGTCGGAGGAGAGTTTTACTGCTGTTCTCTGCGTAGCTGTTGTTAGTTGCAGGACTGGCTCACCACAAAATCCTCACCAACTGGAAATCGTGAGTTTTCTTCCATTGGGAGAACTTTCTGTTTCCCTCCCCCTTTCCCCCTCCTCCCCCACCACCTGGCGGCAACCAAGGATCTCACAGCACCGCCTGGTGACGGGTACTGGACATTACAAGTTCCACTCCTCCAGTGATCCAACAGCGCCACCTGGTGACTACTATAGGACACTACAAATTCTGCACCTTCGGTAACTCAACAGCGCCACCTGGTGAATGGTATAGGACATTACAAATTTTGCATCTCCAGTGACCCGACGGCGCCCCCTGCTGACTGTGGCTGGAACTGCACCAAAGGGTGCTAAAAATTGAACTATTTAATTTCCCTTTTTGCCGGTTTATCAGTTTTGTTCTTGAAGGGGACTATTGGTGGGTATAGGAGTATTGCTTAGTTGTTTTACTTGGGTTTTTTTTTTTGTATGTGTTCCTGTTAATACACACATACCTTTTAATAAAGGGCTGTTATTTTTCCCTTTTCCATAATTTGTTTTCCTTCAATCGGAGCCTCTTAATTTCAGATTTATAATTGCTTAGAAAAGAAAGTTTGGGTCTTTTTCTCCTAAACCATCCTCAGCAAAAGACCTTTGTCTCATTTAAACTGGGACATACAGTTAGTTGCGTGAATTCTGCTTGCTTTCTTATGTTGAAGCTTATGGCTTATTTTGGTTTCAACTTTGTAGAATAATAGAATTTCTCACTGGTGTTGCTTGTGTATAAATGTTTACAACCAAGGAGTTGTAATGTATAGTATTCATATTCATCCATATTCATTTTTGCAAAAAACAGGACAGTATCAGCATGTGCTAACCTAGTATAGAGGAGGGGATTAAGGGATTTGGAAAATTAGACCTGTATGATTTAAAGGATCTCTAGGATTTAGAGAAATGTGTTTTCATTTCAGAACACTTTTCTTCCCGTTCCTCTTGCTGAGCCTCCCATAACATTCAAATATTGGAGCAAATAATTCATCATCATGGCTGAGCTTCACAAACGAAGATTGAGAAAGGCTCTACCCACGCATGCTACAAGTGCGCTGATGGCTGAAAAGGCCAATGCGAGATAGACAAGTCCAGTTGCAGAAGGCACAGCAGAAAGACTCCCCAGGTGATATCGATGAGACACGATTCTTTCTGCGTTGTCTTTTCTCCTCGAGAGTGATCCTGCAGGTGTTCTCAAAAGAAGCAGCAGCATTATAGATGGTGTGTCTCCAGGTCTCCCGATTGGAGGCCAGAGTAGACCAGTGGTGGTGATCAATACGGCCAAGGCTGAGGGATTGTTTCAGGCAGCCCTTGTATCTCCTCTTCGGGGCTCTTCTTTTGTTGCAACCAGTGGCAAGTTCCCCATAGAGCACAATCTTAGGGAGGCGGTGATCCTGCATCGTGGGGACGTGCCCTGCCCAACACAGTTGTGTTCTCAGCAGCAGGGCCTCAATGCTCGTGACTGTTGCCTGTTCAAAGACAGATGTGTTGGTCACATAATCCGTCCAGTGGATGTTTAGGATTGTACAGAGGCAGCACTGATGGAAGCGTTCTAAGAGATGCAAGTGGTGGCGGTAAATGACCCATGATTCAGACCCATATAACAGTACAATGGCTCTGTAAATGCTGATCTTTGTGCATTTCTTCAGGTGTTTGTTTTATGGAGTTTACCAAAAGCTCTGTATGTCTTTGCTAACCTGTTGTCTATTTCTTCATCAATCTTACTGTCTGAGAAGATGATGCTTCCCAGGTAATTAAACTGCTGGACTGATTTGAGCTCTGTTTCACCAATGGTGACATGGGGACGATGGGAGACTTCCTGAGGAGCAGGCTGATAGAAAACTTCTGTTTTCTTCAAACTGACTTCCAGCCCAAAAAGCTCAGCAGCCTCTGCAAAGCAAGATGTCAAACACTGCAGAGCTATTTCTGTGTGGGCGACAAGGGTGGCATCGTCAGCATAAAGCAGCTCACGGACAAGATGATTTAAGGTCTTAGTGTGGGTCTTCAGTCGCCTTAGGTTGAATAGGTTCCCATCGGTACAATGTCGAATGTAGATACCGTTTTCATCATTGAGGTCTGCCGTAGCCCTTTGGAGCATCATGCTGAAGAAGACTGTGAATAAAGTTGGTACAAGAACGCAGCCTTGCTTCACACCATTGGTTATTGGAAA